GGTTTCAGTTTTAACGTTTTCTGTTTCTTTTTACTCTGAAACACTTTGTTTTTACAATTAGTTTCTCAAATCTACCTCCCTGTTTTGGAAGTTTATGGATCTTGTACAAAAGAGGGGAAGAACAATCTTTTTATCTGTGTATTTTGTCTGGTAATTGTGTCTCAGGTTGACTGATTCAGCCTTATAGAGTTCACAACATAATATGCATTTATGTACTAGAGTTAATAATTCTTAGCTACCGATTACAGGGTAGACAGGCTTTGTTTTAAAAATGGAAGATTATCAGGAGAAAAAACATTTTTTTCCTTAGTACTTTTATACACAGGCTGCAAAAGATCATTTAAGCATGGAATATAAACTATCCAAGAGCCAACTTGACCAGTAAGTTTTTGTGCTTAGTTCTTTTGTTTTTTGCACATAATTTTTTATTTTAATTGTGATTTTAACCAAGTTTACAGAAAAGTTATATTTTCATTCATTCATTCATTGTTGCACATTTTACCCCCTCTTCCTTCTTTCCCCTACCCCAGTTCACGTTTTTAAAATGTTAGTTCATTATTGCCCACCCACCCCGCAGTCCTCTTTGCAATATTCTTATTCTGGATTGTTGTTGTACGTGTAATACCTAATCATATATTTCTTTTAAACAGTTCTTTCCTTCCTCTATTCCAATGTAGTGGTCATTATTTATCCCTTCTTTTGTTAGTTTCCCCCAACACCTATGTCAGTCCTGTTTTATAAACAGTGGTGTTATGCAGTAGTTGTCCTTTTGTGACTAAGATATTTCACTCAGCATAATTCCCTCTAGGGTCACCCATGTTGTATAATATTTTAAGAGTTCCTTGTTTTTCAGTGCAGCTTAGTATTCTATTGTGTGACTCTATCACAGTTTTTCTATTCATTTATTTGTTGATGACACTCTGGGTCAAATGGATGGTATTTCTATTTCCAACTTTTTTTATATACTAGTTTATTTACAAAGATAAAAAACATTGTTTTTCCCATTGCTTGCTGAAAGGAGAAGGGCCTAAAGCATCCTGGAATTTTTTAGTGTGTTTCCCTTAGAGGCTCAGCTTTGCCTCGTCTGGTGGTTTCTTGAACTCCTTCTTAGAGGCTTAACCTCCCTTGTTTGGAGGTTTATTGTATTCTTTCTTTGAGCTTTAGCCTATTTTTAAAGTTTTTCAACATAATTTCCAGTGGGGTGCATTTTTCCCTATGTCACACACACAGTTCCACTCTCTCCTCCCCCCCTTCGCTAACTGAAGCAATCTCAGTTTTCTACTCTTCCCACTGCCTTGAGTGGTAATAAGGAGGCACTTGGGAAGTTATCAGACTCCTCTTCTGGTTTTACAGAGCAAGTCCTGTCTGTTTTCTCAGCAAAGCCTACTGTGTTTCAAGCACCACTCAATGCCAGTTCCTCATGTTCATCTCCTCAAGGATATGTCAAGTGGGCCCACCTCCCACTTAATCAAATTGTTTACATAGGATCAAGGTGTCCCTGGCAAGCTCTTGACAGATCAAATCATCTGAATTGATCAGAATGCCCTACATGAATCTCCAGAGGGCTGGTGGCAAACAACAGGCAACTTGCTCTCAGTTTCTTTCCCCAAGTGGTTTTGCTTTCTGACTAATATATCAAGAATGTTACAGGAAGAAAAGACCTGAGTGAGAGAAAGAGTCACTCAAACACCTGAGTTGTGAGGAAGAAGGAATTTTATTCAAGCAGCAGAGGGATAGAAAAACTAAAGTTCAGAATGGCTGTCCCTCTGTCCTCTACAAACTGTTTTGTTCTAAGCCTTTTTTAGGAAACAGACAAAGCAGCAGCATTGGCAGGAGTTTACAGAAGTGGAAGCCAGCATTAGTTTTACAGTCTTAGGAAGGCAGGGTGTTGTGAGTTTGGCTTTCTAGATAAAAGAATATATTTACAAGGTCACAATTTCTCTGGCCCAGTAGAAAAAAGAAACATTCTCACAAAATTATCACTTTCCTGGCTTTTGAGATAAGGAAGCACCTGCATAGCCTCTCCTTCTCCTTCCCTGAGAGTTCAAACATTTTTGCAGAGCTTCTTGTTTCTCAGCACTTCTCTCTCAAACTGGTATCCCATCAATTCCTGGGCCTTATTTCTTGCCAATTCCTTCAGAGTAGCTTGAACTCCTTCATTACCATTGATTCTTGATCATATACTTCTTCCTGAAATGATTTTTCTGTTAGCCAGTTTTTGTTGGTACAATGACTTCATGTATTCCTTCCAAGAAGCAGGGTTATTGTTGCTGTTGTTTTGGTTGGTGCCATCAAATTGTATACAACTTATAGCAGCCTTATGAACCACAGGTCTGAACCCTGTCCCATACCATGCCAGTGAATTCCCTGAGAAAGGGCTCACTCCTGCACTTCATAGCTACCCATGCTGACACATAACTTTAGCCATCACAGGGTGAAATAATTGTTTACCTTACTAGTGTCAAGGAAGTAATTTGTAACTTGTCAAAAGAATATTAAATTTAGCCTTTCTACAAAGACGGCACAGAAAGTGAAGAAGGAAAGCCCCGTCTCTCCCAAAACTGAAGCCAAAGCAGCCCAAATACCCCTGGAAGAGTGCCCCCCAGGAGAAACAAGCTTGACCACTGTGCCATCATCAAATTTCCCCTGACCACTGAGTCAGCCATGAAGAAGATAGAAGATAACAACACACTTGTGTTCATTGTGGATGTCAAGGCCAACAAGCACCAAATTAAACAAGCTGTAAAGAAACTCTATGACACTGATGTGGCTAAGATCAACACTTTGATTAGGTCTGAGGGAGAGAAGAAGGCCTATGTTGGACTTACTCCTGACTATGATGCTTTGGATGTTGCCAACAAAATTGGGATCATCTAAACTGAGTCCAGCGGGCTAATTCTAAATATAAATTTTCTCACCAAAAAAAAAGAATATTAAATTCTAACAGTCTCAGTTTGGCCCAACCCTCCCTCTTTCCTTTACTATCACAGTCATCCTTGTATCATCTTATTCCCAGTCAGGGGAAATTAATTTACCACATCAATTATCACAACTGGTTCTTGCTCTTGTTTTTTTTCTTTAATTGTATTTTTTTTGTTTCATTGTTGTACATTTTATACCCCACTCCCTTGACCCTCCCCATGATACATTCCTTGTTAAAAATTGTTGTCATACATATAATACCTAATCATATATTCCTATAAGACAATTCTTCTCCTCATTTGTTGTAAAGCAATGTTCAATATCCATCCATTCTTTTCCTATTCTTTCCCCTACTCCCACAGCTCTGTGTTATTTTATATAATAGTGCTCCTCTTTTTTTCAAATTGCTCAATTTTTCCCTTCATAATTATGCCACAAAATAAAAATAAAATTATAAATATTAGGAGGACAATGTAATTTAAACATAAAGTATATGGATATATTATTATTGTTGGATAATGTCAATTCAGAACCAACTCATAGCTGACTCTCTGGTGGTTTTTCAGAGGCAGTAAATTGTACAGGAGGAGAACACTCATATTTCCCCTCAGGAGCAGTTGGTGTATTTGAAGCAGGAGCTTTTGAGTTGGAAATGCAACTCTACTAAGCCACCAGAATTGTTGGTGTTAGGTGTCATCGAGTTGACACTATAAACACCAGACCTGAACCCTGTGCCATTTCTGACACACTTAAGCCCACTGCTGCAGTCAGTTGTTGAGGGTCTTCCCTTCATTTGCTGACCCTCTATCTTTCCTAGGAATAGCCTCTCCTAGAAACATGCCCAAAATATGTAAGAAGTTTCTTTATGCTTTCCTACAAAGAAAGTTTCTTTATTCTTTCCTACTCTGGTTATACCTTTTTCAAGACATATTAGTTTGAGTTTTGGGTGATGTGTGACACAGTTAGAGTGTTGGTGCCCTTCCCCAGCACCACAACAAAAGGCATTAATTATTCTTCAGTCATCTTTATTCATTGTCCATCTCTCAGGTGCATAAGCTACCAGGATTGTAGTCATTGCTATTATGTGCCATCGAGTGGCCTGTGATTCATAGTGACCCTATGTACAACAGCTCTGAACCCTGTCCTATCCTGAGCCAGTCTCACTGATTCCAACACACTTAAATCTCATTGTCCCAGTTATCATGTCAGTCCATCTCGTCCAAGGTCTTCCTCTCCTGCACTGTCCCTCCACCCTCCCATGTATGATGTTCTTCTCCAAGGACTGGTCCCTCCTGGCCACATGCACAAAGTATGTAAGACAGAGCTTCAAAATTCTTGCCTCCAAGGAGTAACTTGTTTGTACCATCTCCAAGACAGACCTGCTTGTTCTTCTGGTAGCCCATGGTATGTTCAATACTCTTCTCTGGCACCACAACGCAAGCCACCAGAGCAGTGCTTAGTTAATTGAATATGTATGTAGGTATCCTTCACTTCAGGAAATTTCACTTTTTAACAATTTACTTTTATGAAAGGCTTACATTAGTACTTGTTTTTACTAACCAAAACAAGTCTGAAGGAAATTTTCACTTTTACCAAAGAGATGAAAGTGAAACTAGTGTTACATATTTGTTTTGCAGTGAGTCTTTAAAGAGGCACCATGCACCCTATGCAGTGAGTGTGACATTGACAATTTCCTTCCTTGAATGACATTCAGCATCTCAGAATCAAACTGTCAATGTTTTGAATCATGAAGGTAAATGCTAATTTTTTTTCTGTATAAGTCAGTCCTACTTCTTTGTGTACACTATTTTCATTTACAAAATTTCATAGGAAGGCCCTGCTTTTAGACAGTATGGACAACTGGTATACAAATAGTATTTAACTTATTTTGACACAACATTACAGGTAAATTATTTTGTTAACTAGAAAATTTGACTGCATATGCTTTGGACTTCTTTTTAAAACCAATGAAATAATAGCAACTTTGACTGAAAACATACCAACTTTATTTATTTTTATTTTATTTTGGTAACAGATAAATAACATTCAACTTTATTTGACCTGCTATGAAGTAGATGATGGCAACAAATGGCAGCTCCTGGGGAAACTTCCTTTTAATTGGCTTCTCAGAAGATCCAAAGGCTGAGTTCATCCTTTCTCTGGTGATCGCTGGTTTCTACACCATGACACTCACTGGCAACACAGCTATCATCTTGATCTCCCTTCTGGACAGTCGACTTCACACCCCCATGTATTTCTTTCTTCGAAACTTGTCATTTCTGGACATTGGCTTCACGACCTGCATTGTCCCTCAGATGCTGGTGAACATGTGGAGTGGTGAGAAGACGATCACATACATAGGCTGCATGGTTCAATTTTCAGTGGCCTTGGCTCTTGGCTCCACAGAGTGTGTGCTGCTTGCCGTCATGGCTATTGATCGCTACGTTGCTGTCTTGTGGCCTTTGCGTTATGCTACAATCATGAACCAACAAATATGCCGCATTCTGGCTGCTGTTTCCTGGATCTCTGGATTTGCCAACTCTCTCCTTCAGTCATCACTAGCCATTGTTTTGCCTCTATGTGGTCATCGTCAAGTGGACCATTTTCATTGTGAGATCCTGATCATTATCAAGCTGTCTTGTGTGGATACGGGTCCAACTGAATCGAAAATGTTAATTGGACGCCTGATCATTCTTGCCATCCCAGTGTCTATCATCCTTACCTCCTATGCCTGTATCGCCAGAACTGTGGTGAAGATGCAATCTGCTGAAGGACGAAAGAAGGCTTTTGGGACATGTGCCTCCCACTTGACGGTGGTCACAGTGTTTTTTGGAACAATTATGTTCATGTATCTTCAGCCTAAAAATAATTACTCTCAAAATCAGGGGAAAATCCTGGCACTTATTTATACTGTTATTGCTCCTACTATGAATCCACTCATCTATACACTGAGGAACAAAGATGTAAAAAGGGCAATGAGAAAAGTTATCTGGAAGGATGTAGTTTAAGAAATTATGATTCTTTGATTTGGGGTCACATAAATTACTCGGGCAATAGATTAATGGTAAGGAGGATAATTTTCGTTTTAGATTTCAGCCAGATTAATTTATAAAAATTAAATCATCAAATACAAACTAAATGTATAATTCTTGTAATGACAAGAATGTTGGTGATTGTAGTCTTATGAAAATCAAATAATTCAGATATTAATTTATATTTTTATTCAAAACTGACAATGAAAATTTTGTGATAATTGTTAATTTTCTGGTGAAATTACTGAAATTATATGGTTCTAAAGGACAATAGATTTTTCTGAAAAAAGTAAGTGTGGGAGATAAGGAAGATTCTGTAGTTAACATATAAAAATAGATAACACTGGCAAGATAATTCAAATAAAGGAAAAGACTACTTGATACCTGAATAAACTAATTCAGAGATAATGTACTACTGTGTCTTGGATTTTTTTTAGGTTCTATTGAGTATCTTTTGACTGATAGTGATGATAGCTTTCTTGGTTAGATCCAGAAATTCCTTTTGTGTGAGATATTTTAATGCACTTTTAAATGAGTGCTTGGACTTGTTCGTATATATGATAATGAGGGGGAAATTATCCACTGCATCAGTGAAAATGTGTTAATAACATAAAGAACAATATTTATTTATGTTTATTCATTAAGTGTGTGATCAAGGATGAATAATTAATTTATGTGATGTAAATATGAAAGTAATTTATCTAACACATATAATTTAGATAGGCAAGTAGACTAGAAATATGAAGGCAAACATAATATGACCTCTACAGATGACAGAAGAAGAATTAATGCCTTTGAGTTGGCACTGCAGAAGAGTGCTGAACGTACCATGTACTGCCAAGAGAAGAAAAAAGTTTGTCCTTGAGAGAGTGAAATCAAGCTACTCCTTTGAGGAAAAGATTTTAAAGCTCCATCTCACATATTTGAACATATTACCAATAGAGGCCAGTCCTTGGAGAAAGATATCATCCTTAGAAAGGTGGAGAGATAGCATAGGAGAGGAAGATTCTGGATGAGATAGATTGGCACAGTTAGTAGAGATAGTTTTACCTCCTCTTTGCAGATGTGGATACCTCTTATTTTCTTGTCTTTTCTTACTACTCTCACTAATATTCCAGTACTATATTGAATAGGAGAGGGGATAGTGGGCATCCTTGCCTAGTTCTTGTTCTCAAGGGAAATGTCTTTAATCTCTCTCCATTAAGAATGATGTTGGCTTTTGGTTTTGCATATATACTTTTCACTATTTTGAAGAAATTCCCTTCTAATCCTATTTTATTTTATTTATTCCTATGCTGAGTGTTGGCTGGGTCCCAACTAAGTCTCCAAGTTGAAGGTTCATGTGTGATGAAGTTGGATTCTAGAAGGCGGTTCTTCTTGTTTTGGTTGAGGGTCACATGTGGACTGTTTGGTTGTTTTTATTTAATTCACAGCCATGTGTGAGCTGATTGGATTTGCTGGATTTGGTTAACAATGAGTTGTAGGCTGGAAGCCTTTTGTTCAAAGCCAGTCCGGACCTGTGTATTTAGAATACACGGAGGGCCTGGTGTTACTTTAACTGTGTTTAGAATAAGCATGCTTTCTTTTCTTTGGTTGGCTTTGTTAGTGGATTGTCAATTTTATTGACCTTTTTGAAGAACAAACTCCTGATTTTGTTAGTAGTTTTAGTTGCTTTTCTCTATTCTATTGCATTTATTTCTGCCTTAGTTTTTATAATATATTTCTTGGAGAGGTTGTCAGATTTTTTTTTTTGCTATTCTTCTTCTACTTGTTGGAGTTGTTAAGTAATTATCATTTTTTTCCCCTTCCTGTTTGATGTGTTTGCTTATTGCTATGAATTAACCTCTAAGTGTTACTTTTTGCTATATTCCAGAGATTTTAGTAAGTTGCAGTTTTATTTTCATTGCTTCAAAAACCTTTTTAATTTTTTTTTTATCTATTACCCACTCATACTCAAACAAGAAATTGTTCAGCTTCCAAGTGTATAGTTTTTTCCTCTTTGTCCTTTTGTTACTGATTTCAAGTTTTGTAGCACTCTTACCTGAGAAAATGGTTTATATTATTTCTGGTTTTAGATTTATTGATACTTGCTTTGAGACCTAATAAATGATCAATTCTGGAGAATGTTCCATGCACACTGGAGAAGAATGTATACTCATCATTTTAGGGGTGCATTAGTTTATATATATCTATAAGATCAAATTGACAGAGAGCATGGTTTAATTCTTCACCATCTTTGTTGAGTTTCTTTCTGGTAGTCCTATCATTTCTTGAGAATGGTGTATTGAAGTCTCCTACTACTATAGTGGTGTTGTCTATTTCTTTTTTTAGATCTGTTAAGATTTGCTTTCTGTATTTTGCAGGTCTATCATTTTGTGCATAGATCTTAATTATGTTTATTTCCTCTCTTGGTCTATTGACCTTTTTAACATTATATAGTGCCCTTTCTTGACCTTTGTGATATTTTTACACTGAACTTTATTTTACCAGAGATTAATATGACTACCCCTACTTTGTTCTGATTATCATTTACTTGGTGTATTTTTTTTTTCAACCCTTTGATTTTTAGTCTGTCTTTATCTTCATTTTTTAAGTGTGTCTTTTGTATATAGCATATTGATGGGTGGGTTTGGGGGGTTTTTATTTTGGTATTTTTTTATTCAATCTTCTACTCTTTTTCTCTTCACTGGTGCATTTAAACCACTAAACACACAGTGTAATTATTGAGAGGCAAGATTATATTTCTATCATTCAATTGTGCTCTTTTTGGTGTTGTTGCTGGTTATGTTGGTCCACCCTGCTTTCTGTGGTATCTCTGTAAGAATGACTTCCTTCAGTATGAAATGTTGGTCTTGCTTTTGCAAACTCCCTTAGGTTCTGCTCTTCTGACAATATCTTGATCTCTCAATCATATTTGATGGACAGTTTCTCTGGGTACAATATTCTTGATTGAAAGTTGTGTTCTTTGATTGTTTGGTACATGTCTTCCCACTATCTTCTTACTTGCCTGGTTTCTGCTGAAAAATCAGTGCTTAATCTTATTTATTCTCCTTTATAAGTTACTCTTCATTTTTTCCTAGCTGCTTTCAGAATTCTCTCCTTATCTTTGATTCTGATGAATCTGACTGTGCTATGCCTTGATATCTTTCCTTTGGAATCACTCAGTTTCTTGTATGTATGTTCTCTCATTCTTCATTATTTTTGCAAAGTTTTCTTGAAGTAACTCTTCTACACTTTCTCAATGTCTTTTTTTGCTTCTTGTTCCAGGATTACAATCATGTACATGTTTTTCTTCTTGCTGGTGTCCCACATTATTCTTAGACTTTTTTCACTTTCCTTCCTTTTTGACTCTGTTTTTTCCTCTAGCAGGTCAGTGCTGAGAGCTCTTTCATTTTGCTGATTCTGAATTTTATCTCTTCAGCTCTTCTCATCTATCTTTCCAGCATGTTGACAGCTTCCGAGGTACTGGTCTTAATATTCTGGATCAGTCTCTTGTTTGCCTAGGGTTTCTAATAACTCATTTGTTTTATCTGCATTGTCTTGAATTGTTTTTCTAAGTTTCCCTTGGCTTTTGCTTGTAGAATTTTGCAATTCTTAGAGTTTTTCTTTTATCCATTAAAATTATTAGTCATTGTTATTTTGAATCTGTTTCAGAGAGTTTCTTCAGGATTTCTGGCTTCAGAAAAA